GCTATCCAAATTGGTGGCCGCCGCAACTCCTTGTAGGAGTGAATTCTAGTTTAACTATGTTCTCAAAGAATACCGTATTTTTCGCACCATAGGACGCACCAGACAATAGGACACACCTTGTTTTAGAAAGGGGGAGAACAAGGGAAAAAAATTCTTCGGCTCTCTGCCCAGCGCCCCTTCAGTGAAGCGGCAGGAGGCGCTGCGCAGAGAGTGGGAGAATTTTCCCCCTCTTGTTTTCCCACTCTAAAACAAGGTGCCGTTCAGGCGGCTACCTTGGAAGCCTGGAGAGCGAGAGGGGTCGGTGCGCACCGACCCCTCTCGCTCTCCAGGCTTCAGGTTCCTTTCGACCTGCTCTTTGGGGCTGGCGGGGGGAAGCCCACCACCAGCCCCAAAGAGCAGGTCAGGAAGCAGCGGAAAGGCGCAGCAGAGAGGCTGCTGCCATAGGCGTGCGTCACCTCTCCAGCCGGGAGAGGGTCGTGGGGGGCTGCTTTAGCCCCGCGCGCGCTCTCCTGGCTGGAGAGGTGACGCGCGCCTATGGAGGCTCCTGCCATAGGCGCGCATCACCTCTCCAGCCGGGAGAGGGTCGCGGGGTGCGCGCTCTCCCAGTTGGAGAGGTGACGCTCGGCTATGGAGGCTCCTGCCATAGGCGCGCGGCACCTGGGAGAGGGTTGCGGGGGGCTTCTTTAGCCCCGCGAGCGCTCTCCCGGCTGGAGAGGTGCAGGTGACGCGCGCCTATGGAGGCTCCTGCCATAGGCGCGCATCACCTCTCCAGCCGGGAGAGGGTCGCGGGGGGCTTCTTTAGCCCCGCGCGCGCTCTCCCGGCTGGAGAGGTGATGCGCGCCTATGGAGGCTCCTGCCATAGCCCCGCGTTACCTCTCCAGCAGGTCGCAGGGCTATGGCGTCTTCGCTCCATAGGACGCACACACATTTCCCCTTCATTTTTGAAGGGGGAAAAGTGCGTCCTATAGAGCGAAAAATACGGTAATCATAAATTTCTAAGGGACCCCAAGGGTTATCTAGTTCAACCCACTGCAATGCAGTTATCTCATAAAGAAGTGCTTTCTTTTTTGTCTCTTACGAATCTTCCAAGGTTCATCTTCATTGGAGGTCCCCAGCTTCTGATGTGGTGGCAAAGTGAGAAAAACCTTTTTCTATGGACTTTCTCCATGGAGCCAGCATAGTGTAGTGGTTAAGAGCGGTGGACTCGTAATCTGGTGAACTGGGTTCACTTCCCCACTCCTCCACATGCAGCTGCTGGGTGACCTTGGGCCATTCACACTTCTCTGAAGTCTCTCAGCCTCACTCACCTCACAGAGTGTTTGTTGTGAGGGAGGAAGGGAAAGGAGATTGTTAGCCGATTTGAGACTCCTTAAGGGGAATGAAAGGTGGGATATCAGGTCCAAACTCTTCTTCTCTCTTCTTCTTCTTCCATACACTGCATAATTTTACACACTTCTATCGTGTCTCCTCTTGCTCCCCTTTTAGCTTGGCATGCATCAAAATGTGTCACACTGGTATAGTTCCTAGACAGAGGGAGAAACAGCTCTGGGTGTTTTTCCAGATCTTTATTGTTTAGCCTAAGGCCATCATCAGTCACCCAGTACAGTGGTACCTCAGGGTACAGACACTTCAGGTTACAGACGCTTCAGGTTACAGACTCTGCTAACCCAGAAATAGTACCTCGGGTTAAGAACTTTGCTTCAGGATGAGAACAGAAATCGCGCGGCAGCGGCAGGAGGAGGCCCCATTAACTTAAATTGTACCTCAGGTTAAGAACAGTTTCAGGTTAAGAACAGACCTCCAGAATGAATTAAGTTCTTAACCCGAGGTACCACTGTATTACAACAACACCCACAATACAGTGGTACCTCGCAAGACAAATGCCTCGCAAGCCAAAAAACTCGCTAGACGAAAGGGTTTTTTGTTTTTTGAGCTGCTTCGCAAGACAATTTTCCCTATGGGCTTGCTTCGCAAGATGGAAACGTCTTGCAAGTTTGTTTCCTTTTTCTTAACACCGTTAATACAGTTGCGACTTGACTTCGAGGAGCAACTCATAGAACGCGGTGTGGTAGCCTTTTTTGAGGTTTTTAAAGACTTTGGTGATTTTTGAAGCTTTTCCAAAACTTTCCCGACAATGTGCTTTGCAAGACAAAAAAAATCGCAAGACGACAAAACTCGCGGAACGAATTAATTTCGTCTTGCGAGGCACCACTGTAAGATGAAAACAAATTAATGACATAATCCGTTTCATTATCGAGTATATATCCAATATCTTTTGCAGCAACAGTAGTGCTCATTACAGACAAAGCAGGATCCTGACTACCGTATTTAGAATTTAAGTTGTGCTTTAACTGCAGAAATGACAAACCTCTTGCTAGCTGACATTGTCCACCCACTTTCATTATTCTAAATCGGGGCGACTTAACCAGCAGCCCTTCAGATGCTGCGGGCCTACAGAGCTCTTTTAATCAGGAGTAGCACCATGACTCTTTGCAACATGACGCTGTTGGATGGGAGTTTCCCACGTAACAAGCTCTGCTCTCCTTGGAAGGAGGCTCATTTATCTGCCTAAGCAGAAAAGGAAGCCTGCGAGGCCATAACTCTTCCGGACACATACTGCACAGAGCACAGTTGTAGCTCTAATTGAATAAAAGCCCATTAGCAAGAGTGTAAATGTGATCCGCTTGGGACTATATTTTGCTGTTCCTGTTTCTCCGCGATGATGCTGTTCAATAAACCTTCATTCTTATGAACCCCCTACACAGCTGCCTGCAGAGGGTCTCTGCATGGGGTCTTTACTCGTCTGAGTTTATGCACGTCTGTTTCCATTAACTTCCAAACCTAATAATGCATGTCAGGTTGGGAGGAGCTTTAGATGAAGAATGAACACCGCTGCTTCCTAGAGGATTAAAATCTATGGAGGATAAGGCTTCCGGTGGCTGCTTGCAAGGTTAGAGATGGTCTGCCTCAACTGTTGGAGGCCATAAGTATCTGAATTCCAGTTGCCGGAAACAACCGGAGGAGAGAGAGCTCTTGTCCTGCTTACAGGTTTTGCACAGGCATCTGGTTGGCCACTGGGAGAACAGAATGATGGACTCAATGGGCCATTGCCCTGATCCAGCAAGCTCTCCTTATGTTCTGTGGCAGGGGTGAAGACATTCTGGCCTGCTTTGCCCCACCAAGCCTCCCTCTTGGGCCTGCAATCTGGTTTGGGATAAGCCATGCCCTAATCAGGTAAGGAGGGACGCGGGTGGTGCTGTGGTCTAAACCACTGAGCCTAGGACTTGCCGATCAGAAGGTCAGCGGTTTGAATCCCCGCGACGGGGTGAGCTCCTATTGTTCGGTCCCTGCCCCTGCCAACCTAGCAGTTTGAAAGCACGCCAAAGTGCAAGTAGATAAATAGGTACCACTCTGGTGGGAAGGTAAACGGCGTTTCCATGCGCTGCTCTGGTTTCACCAGAAGCGGCTTAGTCATGCTGGCCACATGACCCAGAAAAACTGTCTGCGGACAAACGTCGGCTCCCTCGGCCAGTAAAGCGAGATGAGCACCGTAACCCCAGAGTCGTCTGCAACTGGACTTAATTGTCAGGGGTCCCTTTACCTTTACCTTTAATCAGGTAAGGACAGGTGTGAGGCAGGTAAAGGTGCAACTGGTCCAAAGGAGTTTACAGTACAGGCACCACCTGTCAGCTGGTTGGCAGCGCCCTGCAAAGCCCCGTGCACACTCCCCTGTCAAACTTGACTCATACTATCAGTGTGGGGGAGATGCGGTTCTGGCCCACTGGTTGGATTCAGAACCCCACCCCTGTCCTAGAGTGTCGCAAAGGCAACTCCTCGAGGAGGAGACGTAGCTCAGTGGTAGAAGATGTGCTTTGCATAAAAAGGTATTGTGTTGAATCCGTAGCATCTCCAAGTACGTCTTTGGGTCAAGACAAGGAATCTTGGAATCATTCTAGAGTTGGAAGGGACCCCGAGAGATGACCTAACCTGGGGAGAAAACAGCAAAGACCTGATGAAGAGAGCACAGCAGAGGTTATATTTTCTGAGAATCCTCCGGAAAAATAATTTCTCAAAGGACCTGTTGATGGCATTTTACTATTGTACTGTGGAGAGTGTATTAATTTATGGTCTCTGTGTGTGGTTTGGGAGTTGCACGGTCAGGGAAAAAGCAATGCCGTCCAGGGTTGTAAAGACTGAAGAGAGAATATTTGGGTGCACTCTTCCCACCTTGGATCAAATCTATGCTTCCAGGTGCCACAAGAAAGCTGCAGAGATAGTGCAGGATAGTGCACACCCCGGAAATGATCTCTTTCAGCTTCTGCCTTCTGGAAGAAGGTACAGGGTTATAAAGACTAGGACTAGCCGCCTGAGAAACAGTTTCTATCCAAATGCGATTTTGGTTTTAAACACAGTGTAAGGTAGTCTTTATGTGAGTACAGTGGTACCTCAGGTTAAGTACTTAATTCATTCCGGAGGTCTGTACTTAACCTGAAACTGTTCTTAACCTGAAGCACCACTTTAGCTAATGGGGCCTCCTGCTGCTGCCGCGCCACCGGAGCCCGATTTCTGTCCTCATCCTGAAGCAAAGTTCTTAACCTGAAGTACTATTTCTGGGTTAGCGGAGTCTGTAACCTGAAGCATATGTAACCTGAAGCGTATGTAACCTGAGGTAGCACTGTATATTGTATTCTGTTATGGGGTATCATAGTTTTTAGGGCTAACCAGGGTGGAATAGCTGGGATAGCAGGCTTGTTGGTTTTTGAATGTCTGATATAGATTTTTTCAATTTCGTTCTGTGTGGGACAATGACAATAAAGAGTATCATATCGTATCGAGAGTCTTCTTCTCCAACCCCTGCTTTTATGTCTTGCTTTTGAGCCTTCTTTTTAGCCACTGTTAAAATCGGAATTCTGTACCAGATGAACCTCGTGTTACTGAGGAGGCCTCTCTACTTGAGCATTTTACCGTAACAATTTCCTCCCTTCTTTTCACCTTTGCAGTACACGAGAGTCTGGATTCCTGACCCGGAGGAAGTCTGGAAATCAGCAGAAATCATCAAAGATTACAAGGAGGGGGATAAAACTCTGCACCTGAAACTTGAAGATGAAACGGTACGTCCTCCTGTTTATTTTTTTGGGGGGGGGTCAATGTTTTCTGCTGTTTCTTGTGTTTCGTTGTTTTCAAGAAATGCTGAGGAAACGTTTTGAAGTCCAAACAGCCAGCACCGACCTTTTAGATATTCCTCTTCATGTTCGAAGAGATTTCTGGAGGGGATGATTGACAAGTTATGCTTTTTCTGTGCGGAAAGCTGTTCTGTGTGAGGCAGCCCTGAGCCTATAACTGTGTGTAGCAGTGAGGGGGCGGGGAACTCAGGCTTCTAGGCCTCCCCAGTTGACCCTCTCTAGGCTGTTTTGGCCAAGCCATGCCCACCTGCTGTACACCTGATGTGATGTGTGGTGTCAGGTGTGAGACAGATAAAGATGCAGCTGAGCTGAAAGGGGGTTTGTGGGCACCACCAATCAGTTGAAGGGTTGGCAGCACAAACAATAAGCTGAATAAGGTTGGCAAGAACCATGTCTTTCCCTACATAGTTGGATTTCAAACAGCGGCATTTGGAGCAGGAATTGATATCTACAGTGGCGATCGAATGGTTTCTTTAGCTTTAGGATTGCCCTTGTTTTGAGCTGTGCGCATCGAAGAAGTTAATTTTTCCACACTCCCATGCAGAGAGCAAAGGAAGATTGCTCTCTCAATCTTTGCCTGCTTGGGTTCTGTTTGATTTCTTAGTTGGAACCAGATATGTGCTGCTCCTTTTTAGTTTCTCGGGTATCAAAGCATTTCCGAACATTGCGGTTTATGTTTAAAGCATTTCACTTCGGCCAAAGGGCTCTCAGACTGGCTTATGGTCTTGCCTGCAGGCTTACCATTTAAAAGACATGGTACAAAAAAGGAAGAAGCGATGAGGAAGGAAGAAGTAAGCAAGCAATCTCAGACGCTGGTTTTTAAAGCTAGTTTTGTAGCTGTTACAGTGACCAGCTGAGATGGAAAGAGGTCAGAGGGGCAAGGAGCCAAGTGTAGTTGTAAGGTAAAGGGACCCCTGACCATTAGGTCCAATTGCAGATGACTTTGGGGTTGCATCGCTCATCTCACTTTATTGGCTGAGGGAGCCAGTGTACAGCTTCCGGGTCATGTGGCCAGCATGACTAAGCCGCTTCTGGCGAACCAGAGCAGCGCATGGAAACGCCATTTACCTTCCCGACGGAGCGGTACCTATTTATCTACTTACACTTTGCCGTGCTTTCAAACTGCTAGGTTGGCAGGAGCAGGGACCGAGCAACGGGAGCTCACCCCGTCGCGGGGATTCAAACCGCCGACCTTCTGATCGGCAAGTCCTAGGCTCTGTGGTTTAACCCACAGCACCACCCGCGTCCCCTAACTGTAGTTGATCTCGCAGCAAATGAAAAGGAGTGGTCCTGCTTCCCATATTTCTCTACATGCTGCAACCTGATGGATTGCCAGGAGGCAGTTGAGGCAAGGGAGGGAGGAGCCTGATGGAAATGGTGTCTCAGAAGATGAGCAGGCTGTAGCTCAGTTGGTTAGAGTATGGTGCTGATAGTGCCAGGATTGCAGGTTTGAACCCCTTAAGGGACAGCTGCATATTCCTGCATTGCAGGGGGTTGGACTAAATGATCCTCGGGATCTCTTCCAACTTTATGATTCTATGACCCATTGCCCCCCATCTCTGATGGCATCTGCTAGGAGAGAGTTATCAGTGGATCATCAACAGCATTTCCCTGATAGTATAGTGCAGGCATAGGCAAACTTGGCCCGCCAGATGTTTTGGGACTACAGTTCCCATCATCCCTGACCACTGGTCCTGTTAGCTAGGGGTGATGGGAGTTGTAGTCCCAAAACATCTGGAGGGCTGGGTTTGCCTATGCCTGGTATAGTGCAACAGATACTTGTCACCTCAACAGGGGGTTGTGTCTAACAGCATTCATCAAATGGAGCAATTGTGGCAGCGGGGCATAAGAGTTGACTTTGTTACTGGCACACAATCCTAGGAGCTTGGGAAGAACCTCTGTCTTTCCTGGTGTGTGTGGTGAGGAGGGGAGGAGTGGTGGTGGTCAAGTGGACCTGTTACTCCCCCACCTTTTCTATAGGTACAGAGATCAAGTGCTTGATGGAAACCCACACCAATGGAGTCTGCTAATTCAGCACACTTCAGTTTGCATATCCATCAACTATTTGCATAACACGCCAAACACACTGCTTAGATTTCCGAAGCTGAAATATGGAAAAGCTGACATCCTACTAGTAGGAAGACTTCAGAAGCTCTTAACCTCTGCCCCCTCCAAACACACACACCCCAAACCCATTTGCTAACATAGCAGTTGGAAAGGACTTGGTGCAATTGCTTTTGTTAACTAAAAACATTGCAGTGACAAGCCTAGAATTTATTATGATGAAGGGTGCAGTTTTGTCTTGAAGCACCAGCGGCTGGTAATGTTACAATTGCGTTTAACCCACTTGGCTGGCATAATGGCAATAGGAGTTTATTGAAATTTCTTCACAAATGGCTTCTTAAATTGTTTAGCTGCAAGTGTGCTCTGTTACTTGCTAAACCAGTTAGCAGATGCAGCTTTTACAAACTGAACATGCTCCAAGGACATTGTGAATAATTCAAAAGGCCTGCTAGGAAAAAATAAGCATTACTATTGCTTGCACGTGATGCATTATCCAGTTATTAAAAGGGAGGGTGGAACCCGGGAATGAGAATAGAACCCAGTGAGTGGCGCATTCACCTACCTAGGAGGCCTAGGTTCATCAGGACCCAGAACCTAGCATGGATTCTGAAAAGGGTCAACTTGAGGTGCTTTGTTGCATCTCATGGTTCAAGAGGTGGGCCCCAGAATCTCATATTAAGGTAGTAAGTGTCGGAATCTGCGTTCGACCGAGCTGATAAATCTCATCTTCCGGAATCACCCTCCGACATGATTAATGACCTGAGCCTTTGATGAGGCTCAGGCACATTCCCATTCAGCAGAGAATCAAAGCAGCACACGGAAGTGATGAGATTTATGGCTACATCACTATGCTTTATTTTCTAAGCTACGCAGACAGAAAAGAAATCATCCTCTCTCTGTGAGAGCAGAGAGCAACTGAACAACAAAGGAACAGGAAACCAGTACGTCACATCCGTCTCCTGTCTCCCGTGAGACTTCCAACAGCCTGGAATGTCTCTGGATTGTAAACAGAGTCTTGTGACTCCAAAGCACTGCACAGTGGCAAACAGAAACTAACAGTAGGTTTCCAAGATTTCAGCCACCTCCTCAGGTTCTCCATGGCAGGAAATGAAGTGGCACAGCTGTTTGCACAGAGCCCGTCAGAACTTGGGTTACCAACATGGTGCCCAGGGGCGCACACATGTTCTCGCAGAGGCCTTCCATGGCAACCACAGGGTTCCCTCCACCCAGGATTGGAAGAAGCATTTTATTGTCACCAGTCCAAATAGGTTGTGGTGCATACTCCATTCTAGATTTGTGTAGGGTTTACTCCTTAGTCCTTTCTCCCCCCCCCCAAAAAAAAGCAGTGAAGGTTAGGATCAGAGTTTTCCTTCTCCTACATGGGCTACCTTCCCAAGTTGATGAACCCCATCACTTCCCTCTACAGCACACGCAGAAACTGCCTTCTTGACCACTGGACCCACTATTGATCTCATCCGCTCAATGCACCAGAGCCTGTCTTCACATGCAGGGGAAGTGCCTAACTCACTGAGGGTTTGAGATCCATCGGCTACCCTCACCTGGTTTAACTGGCCAACTGAAGCAGTTTCCCATGGTTTGGCCACTGTCACATTCTGACATGGAGCCACCGGTGAGAGCTGAGTGGGGACCTGAGGTGGACAAACTACCCCAGAAGGAGAACAACATGCCCCTTATCTGAGATACTACCTTTCCCCTAAGACCCCATACACCCTCAAGAATAACTAACGCTCTTATGCAATTAAAGAAACAGCTCAGACTGATACGGACACAGTAAGGGCACTGTTAGATAGGAGCCAAAAACCTGCGATACGATAACTAATAGCTTAGGACAGGCATAGGCAAACCCAGCCCTCCAGATGTTTTGGGACTACAATTCCCATCATCCCTGTCCTGTTAGCTAGGGATGATGGGAGTTGTAGCCCCAGAACATCTGGAGGGCTGAGTTTGCCTATGCCTGGCTTAGGAGCTTAAATTCTATCTGCGGAAAGCTAGCTTTCAGCCCTGCCTGACCTGGGAAGCTTAAGGGACCCACTGTAAACTGCTTTCGGTTCTGACCCTGCCCACTTGTGGCTCCACCACAAATCTATTAAATTTCCCACACCGTTTTTGGAGAGCTGCTTTTCAGGGCTCGGAAAGGGCAGGTTGGGCTTGCTGAGGCTTCTCAGATCCTGAATCCAGTTGCAGGGAGCGGCTGGCCATCCATCATGCCCTTGCTATCAGTTTGCTGGAGAGAGGAGGTTGGGCTGCGTTATCTGTTGTTGTTTTTTAAATGATATTTATTAAGAATTTAAGATTACAGAAAAAAGGAAAAAAGAAAAAAGAAAAAAGAGATTAAACAGTACAAGTCAATAAAAAACAAAGAAAAAATACAAAACACACAATACATCAAAATAAAAAACAAAAGCAAGAAAAAATTAAAAACAAATCCAATATTCCCATATCCTTATCTTCATTAACTTGTTTCATCGACCTCCTCCCACCTCCCTTTTTTGTATTCTAATTGTTAATTATCTCAGCAAATCCTTTCCATCTTTCACTATATTCTGTCCTTTGGTTGTCTTGATTTATTTTAACCTTATCTTACCATAAAAAACCCTAAAACTTAAAAACTTACTGTGATGGGATGATGAGCTGCTTGTGCGTAAAATGCAAGTCCCTCAGAGTTTGATCAGGTTTTCAAACCTCTGCCTGTGACGGAGCCCCTCCAGCATGGCTGCGTCAGTCGCTAGCAGAATCCAAAAGTGGTTGCTTTCGGAATCGTTTCCAACATAAAAGCTCCTTAACGGAAACACGTCTTCTGGACTCTCGGCGTGACAGTTTCCGGCGAGGAGTGGGTGTCCCTA